GGGGGGGGGGGGGGGGGGGTCTTAATTTAGGCCGACGGAGCGGATGGAAATGGACACCGGTAGATCTGGTGATAATGCGCCAGCTTTTTATGTGAATTAAAAGTGAAACAGAAGCTGTTTATGAAGGAGATCAGACTCCACTGGATCTGCTCGCTCAGCAGAATAAGGAACAAGCTCATTTATGTCCAGGAAAGAAAGCAAAGAGCGGGAAATATAAGATGCTTCCTCCTCCATCTCTAGCTAACTATGAAGTGAGAATATTAAGGAAAGTGTTCGTCTTTCGTGCAATCCAAAGACATGAATTCCTTTTGATTCAGCTTTTAGAGTTTGGACACAAATTGAAAGTGGAGAGAGTTTTGACAGACGTGTTTTCAACAAATCTTTTACTTGCTTCCTCCTCCATCTCTGGTCTCTCCAGAGCTCGTCTCTGTGAGGAGCCTCCAGGAAAAGATCTCCAGTAAAGCTCTTTCTAGTACTTTTGAGCTGTTTTTGCATTTTGTATTTTATATTAGGTCAGTTTAGCTTTGGGTTTTTTTTGGGGTGTATTTTTTGTTGTTGTCATTTTTTCCTTTTTTTGCTGTTTTTTGTCATTTTAACCTTCTTTAAAATCTTTTTGCTGAATCTTTTGGTCATTCTAGCTATATTTTACTGCTATTTTGGCCATTTTAGCTCTATTTTAGCCCTATTTTGGTAAATTTAACTCTACAATTGATCTGTTTTGGTCATTCTAGCTCTATTTAAGCTCTTTTTGGTTGTATTTTCGGTCATTTTAAGCCTTGTTTTTGCTTTTTTGGTGTATTAAAGAACACAAAAGATCCATCCCTCCATCAGAGCTGCTGGGGTTCCGTCCACTTCTGGTTCCTCTGGCAGAGCGACGCCTTTCCTCCCTGTTTCTGCTCCACATGTTGGTTTCATCCAGTTTCTGACCCACTGTGGGAACTCTGGAAGGTTTAGCTGCTGTTAAACACCAGACAGGGTGCGTTTAGCTCTGTTTTAGCTCTACTTTGGTCATTTTAGCTCTATTATTGATCTATTTTGGTCATTTTAGCTCTATTTTTTTCTCTAGTTTGGTCATTTTAGCTCTTTTTGTTTGTATATTTGGTCATTTCATCATCATTTTTTGCTTTTTTGGTGCATTTTTGGTCATTTTAAGCCTTGTTTTTTGCTTTTTTTTGTGTATTAAAAACACAAAAGATCCATCCCTCCATCAGAGCTCCTGTTCAGCTCTCTGCTGGATCTGCTCCTCTTTCTGAAGGACTTTCAGATCCTCTTCTTCTGCTGGATTACAGAGTTTTTCAGGCCCAGCTCTTCTTCTTCTTCTGTCCTCCTCTGGTCCAGTTTCCAGATGTGTTCAGGACTCTGCTCACCCGCTGAGATCTGCCCAGTTTTAATCCTTGTTTTTTTACTTTTTTTTGCTGTATTTTATGCTGTTTTTGCTTTAGTATTTGATCATTTTACCTTTATTTTTGCTTTATTTTGGTCAGTTTAGCACTATTTTTGCTTTTTAT